AACATTCCTGTGTCTCTCAATCCATAACATTAGATAGAAGAGAGTGGATCAGAAACACGGAAGACATTCTTGTTTAGATTAGAAATCACATCCCTTTTGCTGCAAGGAAGCTTGGTTAGATAAATCAAACATTTTAACTAAGCCATGTGTATTCAATATCTTTACAGAACAAATCTAGCCAATAAAAACCTATCATTCCATTCTATGTCATCTCTTGTTTTAAACCAATTGTATTAAGAGCAGCCATGTTTTTGTTTGATTTGGTCTTGATAAAGGTTTTGATATTTACTGAACTCAATACAGTAGTAATAGTTTGTGAGACAGAGTTGTTAACAATCAAAATTCCATGGCAAGGTTCTTCTTGATACAATGTATTAATTAAGGAAACATCAATTTCCTCTCTGATATATTAAGTTGATGGAAAATTTTGCAGCATTTATGGACAAAATCTTTCATTTATGCATCATGATTTAGGTCACCTTTCTCGTAAATTGCATATTCTATCATAAAAGAATGATTAATTTTCATTTATTGAATTGTTTGAGATCTACAGCTTGTTGGAACTGATGACCAAACCAGGACATGTTTAAGATGAAATGTTGAAAGTTGTCCTTCAAAACTACAAGCTTTTTTTCATTTTGGTTTCTTGTAGTAAAAGCTTTCTTTAAATTATTAGATAAAACTTGACTAACATTGGTTATTATTATTTTTTTTTTTTTTTTTTTACTATTATTTACATTTATCCTAATGTTTGAGTTATTTTTTACTGCAAAAAAATGCAATACTTTATGGCATCAATAAAGATTGTGGAATGAGGATTAGATTTATAGGTTAGATTTGATAGGATTAGATTTATAGGTTTGATTCTGCAAAGCTATTGAGTTTTTATAGTTTAGTTAAAATATATGAAGTGTTTAACTAGTCTTTCCTGACACAAAATTAATGTTAGAATCTTGCAGAGGTCTCATCTTTATCCATTTTTAAAAAGACAAAAAAATGTTCCATTAAAGATACTTTTTTGTTAGGGAGTGTCATTCTATTTTTTTTCTCAAAATATTAGAACTTTAACTGTAGATTTGTTGGCATGTAGACAAAGCGTGCTTCTTGTCAGCTGTGAACATCAACATCCTTGTGGCAAGTGTTTGTGATTAGCCTTTTGGAGTCTTCATAACAAGCCTGACGCAGGTTTTACTTGACATCAAGGGAGATTGTAATGTAATATTTGTCTTTCTCTGTCCATGTGACTGCTGTTGGCAAAACGTTGTAAACATAGCTTCCTCTTTTCCACTGCATGTGGTAGCCACATTTGGCACATGCCACATGTGTGTTGCTGTAGGCTTAATAAATATCAAATGCTTACAGGTTCTGTACATCAAGTTTACATCGTTTTGGTTACATTAAAATGACTCACCTTTTTTTTTCCCTTAGACCGCATTCAGTGAATTATTTTTTTTTTAAAAAGTGCGGTCTTTCATAATTTTTCAACACTTTAATTTTTTGGACCACTGTTTTATTATCTATCAGTCAAAAACTTGATGAAAATTGAAAACTGGGCAAATTGATAATGGATATAGCAGATATTTTGTTGATAGTTTTTTTTTTTCTCTCTTTTGAAAATCCATGTCATTTCAAGGTATGGTTGATCATGGCTCTCCACAGATTCCTTTCTTTCAGATTTGTGAATTGCCATGATTTCTTGTGTGATATGTATTGGTTTCCTGTTGTTCCACAATTTTGCATTCAGTGAGTCCTTCTCTTAGGTGAACTACCATCCAAGGTAATCAGTCACCCTCATTTTTCTGCCACGCCGGGGGTTGAGCCATCCCCATTCTGCCATGCTGGGGGTGAGTCACCCTCCTTCCCTATGGTAATTCTCTCTGAAAGCTTTTTCCCAAGAACAGTTACTTTGTGGAGAAGACTCTCACATAGATGCTTCCTTGAGCACACAAACTCTTGAAGAGTTCAAAAGCATCTCTGTGTCCTTGTGGGTGATGAAATATTTTCCTGCCTACAACCCCTTTGTGATAGATGAAACATTGTAAGCCTCTCATTGATCTATTGTTATTTCCATAGAACGTGTATGAAGAACTTCATTCCTTGATTTTTACCAGTTCTAACTCTCAACACTGAGACCCACCATGCCACACCCATTGTAGTAAACCATCCTCATTCCCTTTGTATTCCGTTGGTGAGATGTAAGTTCCACTCTAGCAGCTTCTTCCTATGAACCACTGCTTTGGGGAACCGAATCTGAAGAGGATACTTCCCTGATAACTACAATTTTAATCTGTTAAGTCTAGAATTAATCGTTATTTTCCTCCATATATTTCCATAAACTGTGTGCCTTACTCTCAAACCCTTTAGCTAGTGTTTTTGGGGCCTTGTACAGGGTAAATAGTAAAAAACAAAAAAAAATGTATCTGTTATCTATCTGCCATGTTCTCATAATCTTCACTTCCTACATCTTCCTCTTATGTTCATGTTATTTGCTGCATTCAGTAACACTCTACATTGGGTGACTCTTGAGCACTGTACAGTGTAAAATCTTGGTATTAAATTAAAATAAAAAAAGGCCAGAGTGCCCAGTCTACCATTCTATTTAATACATATTCATGCCTTTCCTGAGGACATTTGTGCGAAAGTGAATGCAACAGACTTGACTGAAATTTGAACTTTGCATGCTGATTTCACTTTCTGCACTGATAACTGTTACACTATCTGCACATTCACTGTTTGGGTAGGTTAATTATGGGAGAATGATTTGCCTATATATTATCAGTCATTGTACTGTTAGTCTTGGTATGTTAATCATGAGAAAATGATTGAGGTGACTGGTAATAGGATGCTGCAAGGAGAACTGAATTGGTTTTCCCACCGTCTTCTGAGACATTAATCTTTAAATAATGCAAGTTTAGACTCTAATTCATATATATATATATATATATATATATATATATATATGTGTGTGTGTACCATAACAAAAATATGATGCCGAAGGCATAAAATTAATTTTTGACAATGAAAAATATTTGTTGACAGTTTAATTTTAGTTTTAATTTCAAGCTGATAGATTAACTAATATTTCCAATAAACAAAATTGAAGTTTTCATTTTGAAGTTTGTAAGATTTTTGAATTTAGTGCCTTTTTTCCTTTTTTTTTTTTTTTTTTTTTTTTTTATGAAAATGTATATCTCTTTATTAAAAAAAAAAAAAAATCCTTCAAAAATAAAATATACTTTTCTGAAACTTGATTAATATTTTCTGATTGGAACAACTTTTATTTACTTTAAGTTTAAAATATAACAGAAATGCATTTTTTAACATGGCAGTAACTTGTTTATTTATGTTGACTGCTCTGACAAATTTTTATCGAATGTTGTTCTACAAGGGCTTTAACCTTAAAAATAATTGAGGAATATAACACAAGTGTATTTTAAGTACTTGGTCATCTTAAAAATTACAGAAAATATTCCCTGTAATATATTTTATTGAATTTTAGCTCTAAATTTACTGTAGTTATCACTCTTATTTTCTGATAATGTCTTGTATTAGCAATTATATCTATAAAATTTGGCATATTTATACACATACAAAAATAGTTCAAAATTCTTTTAAAAATATTCATGATCATCTGATTGTAATTAGCTTTACAATTAAAAGATTTAGAAATATTATAAATTATTTTAATTAAAATTGTAAAAACTCATTTTTCATCAAAAAAATTTTTTTTCCTTAAGACAATATTGTCCTCAATATATATTATTCATGAAAACAAAAGCTTCTCTAATTAAATAATGTCTTAGTTTTATTGCTTTTTATTTTATAATTCAGAACAGATTTTTGATAACTAAGGTCTGACTTTATAGGGAGAAAAAAAAAAATTGAGGATTTAAATTCCTCAGAGTTCTGCTTTTAACTAATGCGGTCACTAAAAATTATCACATTGAATTTTTTGAGTTTTCATAAAATTAAGGGGGTGAAACACATGTAAAAAAAAAAAAAAAAATTCTAAAATATTTAATACTTTTGTGAATTAAGTCCTGAAAATTTCACTAACAACTGACAATTATTTGATTTTTTGCAATAATTTACAAATTAATGTGTTTGTCACTGCCAAAAAAACCCCCAAAATTCTAAAATTTGCTCTGCTAATTTATAATACATCTGCTGATAAGGAAAAACAAGATTTTCAATCAAAAGTTTGCATAGTCTAAAAAGGATTAAAAAATTTAATTAAATATTCAAGAAATATTTTGATCTTTTGTCTTAATAACATAAAACTTTTGATGTTAAAACTGTGTTTTCATTAAATTTGGAACATTTTTCATCATTGTATGCTAATTTTTAGCAAATTTATGGAGGTACATACATATTTAAATATATATTTTAAATCAGTTAATTTATAATACATAAATAATATATTATATAAATTTATATATATATTAATTTATATATATATATATATATATATATATATCAATTTTATGGAGGTACATACATAAATATATATTTTAAATCAGTTAATTTATATATATATATATATATATATATATATATAATATATGGTTGTCACACATGAGATGTTGCATTTTTGGTCATCTAACAAAGTAACGTCCTTAGTATATAAAAAATTCTTTACTTACACCTGACTCTTTTTCTTTCCAAATATTGTTACTCTCTCACACACGCGTGCGTGCACACACACACACACACACACACACACACACACATATATATATAATCTGTTTTTGAAGGACAGCAACAATGAAAACATATCACATGAAATCTAATGAGAAAATAATGACTTAATCAAGATGTTGACATTCCTCACAACATGAAACAAAAGATTAGGAAGGAAACCCCATCAATACTGGAAAGAGCAATAATAGTGGACTTGAGAAACCTTTTATTGAAAAATTGTTTTAATAGAAAGCAAATATAACAAACACGACTGAAATTGGAACTCTGCTCTTTGATTTCCAATTATGAGCAATTATTCATGACAGCACCTGGTATTCCCAAGTAGCCACCCATTTAGGTACTGACTGGGCTTGACATTGCTTAACTTCGGTGATTGTATAAGAATTGGCATTTCAACATGGTAAAGCCGTAACCCTGTATAACAAAGAAGCATGTTTTGGGTTGCACATATCACATTTCTTAGATTTCGACATTTATATTTTCTACAAATTTAAGATGTCTGTTTAGTGGTTGTTGCTTAAGACTTAAAATATGGAGCGTTATGGTTGAGGTAGTTGCATATTTCTCACTGGTGCTGATTATTTGAACTTGGGTAAATCTTGATTTTAAAGGCAGTTGAAATTTTTGTGCATCACCAGCTTTCTATTTCCTTTATGTTCTCAATTTATCCATGTGCTTGATTAAGTTAAGCTTGATATCATTTAGACTAATCTATTTGGATGGCGAGCTAATCCATGTTGCAGATACCTGCTCAGGTACATTTGTGTTTCTTCAACAAACACACACAACCAATAAGTAGTTCATATAGAAACTATGCTGAGCACACCTTTGTTACAGTTTTTGAGAGAGAATATGTAATCTGGCATGATCAGTAGTTAAAGGCTACTCCATTTGAACTGTCTGTCACAATGATGGATTTGTGGCTTTATGCTAGCACAACCATCAATGGCTTCCAAACAGTTTCATCTACCCACCTACAAACCATTGCATGATGGGTGCTTTTATCAAGATACAATCTCTCGATAGGTCACCAATCCAGGCTAAAGAGCTCCTATCTGCCCATTAGGTGTGGGATCATGACTTTGTGCTAGCACAACCATCAATGGCTTCCAAACAGTTTCAGCTGGCGAATTTCATTTTCAAGGCTCTAGTCAACCTGTGGTATTTTTTTTTCTCAGGCACTTCCCAACAGTACTAAGTGCTTGGGGTCATCTTCCCAGGTTGATCTTATCAAAATGTCACTCTTGACAAATTGACTCTGTTGACATTGGAACACAGGTCTCATTGTCAGAATATACATATATAAATATACATATGCACAAATGTTGATGTGGGGGTATTTTGAAAGCGTATTAATGTCAATGAAAGACTCTTGGAGTTCTAAGATTGGCCAAACAATTACAGGACATTTTTCTTTTAACTTTAAATTAAAGCTATTTCTCAAAATATTATTTGTATAATAGTTTGTCTTCTGAAGTAATATTTTATTTCAATTTACCTCTGCACATAAAGACAAATTAAAAAATAGTATTTTTCTATTTAGTGTATGGAGAAGCCCTCAAAACTTGACTCTAGTTAATGTACCATCTTATAGGCTTGAAAGCAGTTATCAGTTCAAAAGCAGGTGCTGCTTAAATAGATTGGCCCACTCATTAAAAATTTTTTTTTGATAGATGTTGACATTCCACACGAATTTAATTATTCATTAAACCTTCCTTAGATGGCAACATTTGTCAGAATTGGAACATGTTGATTTTTCTTTTTATCGATTTAGGAGGGTCCTGTTTATAACATGGATACAGTGTCAAATCAGTCCCTGACTTTTACAGTGTTATTGGACTTAGGCTAAGTCACTCAGTCTTTATTCAGAAATGTTAAATTTCAAACTCTGCTAATGTCATTGATATCTGCATATTTTTTTTAAATTATTTGAATTTTTAAAACTTTACTTTCTTTAAAACTTTTTGTATGGGATTTTTCAGAAGCACATGTATAAATATTAGAGATTAATAATTATTTATCTTAAATGAAGAAAGAACAGATACATAGTTTTATTAGCATATAAATTTTTACATTTGTTTTGGAATTTCGAACCGAACACTCTATTTTCTACCACCAAGGTAGATTTACTGGACTCGAAGTCCACAGCACAGGTGAACAAAAACTTGGAGAGTTGAGTTACTAAAGGGAAATAACTGAAACTGAGATATACAGAAAAGGCATGGCATGTGGAACAAGAACAATCTATCTTGGTGGACGAAATAAAGGGGTTTGAAATTCCAATGAATATCATCTGAAGAAGACCAGTGGCAACAATGACCGAAACATTGTGAATATGACAATAAAGATTAGGACAATAGTCCAAACCATGTAAATAGTTACATATAGTCTCAGAAATGTAAGCATAAACTTTTGTTCTTAAATTAAAAAAAAATTATATATGTGTTTGTTTCTTACTTAAAAGAAATCTTTTTGTAACTCTCCTTCCAAAAAAAAATGTATTTTTAAACACTAAACAACTAGGTCCACTGACAGAACCCCATTCTCAATTGATTAGAAATCAATATTTTTTTGATTCTGATAAAGGAAGGTTTGAAGAATGCTAATCTATAAAAATTATTTCCCAATTTTTTTTATTTATCTATTTATTTTTTTATTTTTTTTTTATTTATCTCTTTATTTTTTTATTTATTTTTTATTTATCTATTTATTTTTTTATTTTTTTTTATTTATCCCTTTATTTTTTTATTTATTTTTTATTTATCTATTTATTTTTTTTTTTATTTATCTCTTTATTTTTTTATTTTTTATTTTTTTTTAACATGTAGACCAGTTTAAGTAGTGCCCAAAAAGAAACTTGGATGAGATAAGTGAAATAAAACAGCCTGAAAACTAGTAAATTTACTTTGTGTAAGAGAAATTAATCCTTATAAGTAGATCACTCAACAAATATGTCAGAAACTTTGTTTACGTTGGATAATGGACAAAATAAGACTGGATTTAAAATGTTGTGGAGGTTGGTTCAGGAATAAACAGGAAATTTCTTGGAGATGTGCCCATGCACGAAATAGTGTTAGCTCATGGATAAATGTTCTGTCATTTCTGCATGTTGGTAAACTATTGGCAAGTCTTCAAGATTCTTCTGGTTTTACTTCAATATGAATCTATTCCTAGGTTTTTCAGAACTTGTCTTAGAAGAAAGAGGATTGGGTTGGTATTATAGAAAAGCCGAAAGAGTGGAATGCTGAGAAGGAATCCTTGAAAGTGTAAGACATTTAACTGATTAAATCAAAACCTTGTTTTAGAAAGGATATGTGTCAGTGTGTTTTGAGATACTTAATTTCTATCTTCACCTTGTCAAAGGTTACATGCTAAGTATTATTAAATAGTTGTCTACCTTTAATGTTAAAGGCAATGCAACTATTTGTGACAAGCCTTTGTTTTTGGTCACATGTTTAAAATTTGAATGCTTCTCAAAGATTATCATTTTCACTTGAATTTGGAAAAAAACTTTTTGTTTTAGGTTCTTAAATATTTAAAATTATTTTACAACTTTGTTTAGTTTTTGTTCTTTGTAGTAGTTAATTTCAAATTAGACTATATTGAATCCATTGCTAGGTCAGCTGTTGTGTGAAACAATTTCTCTCTCCAGAATCTATCTTACATATCTATAAGCCTAGCATTCACCCATGCTTACAATATTGCTGCCTCATATGTTTTGGTGCTGCTTTACTTTGAGCTCCTTGATAAAATCCAAAGAACAAGCAGCAATATTATTGGTCCTGATCTGGTAGTTCAGCTTCAGTCAGTTTGCCATCATTGTAAGGTTGCCTCTCTTTGCCTTTTCTATAAATACTTTCATAATTTGCCAAGCTGAGTTAGTGTGGCTGAGAGGATGGAAAAAATTGTTACTAACGGAAGGTACACAAGTTGATACTTGATTAGTATTGGCTGGGTCTCTGCAAAGACGGGGTATGATGTTGAATGACCTGAAACCCCTAATGAACCTCGGTGAGAAACATCACTGATGATGTGTAGTAAAGCATCCAATAGATGTATTTTACGAAATCATGGTAATTGTTCGGATGAACTCTTTGCTAGGGTACCTAGACTTTATGAATTTAAGTGTAGTACTAGATTGATGTTGAGATCTCATCAATTTACAGTTACTATTGCATTCATGGTTTACTTTTAAAGAAAGTCGTTCTGAAGAACGCTCTTGTAAATTCATAAAGTGTTGTTGAGTTTATTAATATATTTGCTTATTCCTATCATCATGAAAAAATAAGACTGAAGATTATTTTTAATGTTTTATAAGAAGGCATGCAAAATGAAAATATATAAAAATTATGTTATAAAAGGTACAGTAAAGTCAAGGATAGAATTCAAAATCCCAGAAGATGAAAGAAAACATCTGATTGGCCAGTTTGATATTGAATTTAAAGGGCTTGAAATTCTAGGAGTTCTCAAGAATTTTCTATTTTCTTAACCTTTTTCTGACAGTCTAATTATGGCTTGCCATATGCTATATATCAAATGGATATTTTATTGCATTGAGCTTCTAAACTTACCAAAACCATATATTCATGCTTCTACTGTATGGCCTGAACATAATACTTTTTTTATTTTTTTTAATTATTGTTTTAATCCTTTCTCTTAAGTAAGGCACTAAAGCCACTAAGACACAAGTGGTTATTGAGTATGAGAGAATATGAGAAAAACCATTTAGGAGAGAGAACAAAAGAATTAAGACAGAAGTTAACAATTGCATTTAAATTTTTGATTATCAAACTTCACTGGAAAGCAAGAAGCCAGAAGAGAGTTCCACAAGTGAGAAGTGTAAGAGAAGAAACTGTTAGCATAAAACATGATTACATTTATCAGATTTTTAGCTATCATCGAACCTGATACATTAATTCGCATATGTAAATTGTCCGCCTTTTTAATGGCATGTGGCCTTGTGCCAAAATGAAACTATGCTTAGTTAATAACTTTTGTAGATTGAGCCCAAATCAAATTAATTTTGTTGTCAGAAACTGAATTTAACCAATCTGGAAAGAGTGAATTGACTTGAAGTTTCAACTGATTATAGGATTTTTTTCAAATATATTATTTGCTAATAATGACATAGTAACTGGAAGGAAAATAAATATTGAATATGCACGAGAAAACCCTTTATGGGTAAAATAAACTGATCAGTTACCTTTTCTTTCCTTTCCCTACTAGTATATAAAAAATCATCACTAAAGCAGACAATAATGCATGTCTGCAATTAAAAAAAAAAAACAAACTAGCAGACAATATAACTGCTAATAGTTTGACGCTTGGATAAATTTTTTTTTTAATTTTAAGATAAAATATAGTCTAACTACAAAATAATTGTATATATGAAAAATTAGCAAATAAGTTTT